CTGTTCTGATAAACAAAAATTTATTTATTTTACCAGCTTTAAATGTAGGCATCGAAACAGCTGTTTAGCAGCTCTGTTAACATGGACCCTCTGCCACAGCCCTGCAAACCCCCGGGATATTGGTCAACTGCTGCAGGAACACACTGTCACCAGGGAGGGAGCACCTGTCAGTCAGCAAAGGCAAGGTCATCTGAAGGAAGGCGGGAGGAGGAGGCTGCTGCTCCAAGGAGAAAACTCAGGGGGCATCTCCCGTCCTCCCCCCGCCCCCCCCCCAACTCCAGGGTTCCGTCCGGGAAGACTTCTCCAGGAATCCCAGACCCTGAGAGTCCAGACCACCTGTGGCCTGCCAGGCTACCGATGAACAACAGGAAGTATCAATTTTTAAAAAACGTAATACGCATCTCATCAAGCCATACATACACACAGTTTAAGGGTCAAATAGCACTACAGGGCTTGTTATGAAAAACAGGGCTCCTCAAATATCACCTGTTCTATTTCCAGCTCCCCCACTGGGGAGACTTTTAATGTTTTGATAAAACTCCCACGTATGTATTTATTGCATGGAGATAGTTCTAGTAGTTGCAATGCTAGACCACAGGTTTTTAGTTGGGACCAACTATATGTAAACTCAACTTTTATTTTTTGGTTGGAGCACAGGAAATACTTTTGTGCATTTTAAGGATAGATTATTATTATAAAAAGCCCAAGGGATGTCAAGAGGATAATTACTGTCATATTCCTGGGGGTGACTAACAACGTCTTTGCTCAGAGCAGAGACTTTAACATATTGTTAGGGTGGTTTTTCATCTCTTTTCACACAATAATACATAAAATCCTGAATAACTATTTTTTTTCTTCATTCACAATTTTTATTTCTTACAATAAGTTCTGTATTTTTAAAGTTGGTGGGTCTTTTACAGAATGAATACTTCTTACTCACCATACAATCCCCCCCCCCCGGAAGGAGTAATGTGGGGGCAGTTGAAATACTAGCAGATACTCCAGGTCCATGACAGAGGCTCCCAGCGCCCCCTCCTGCACACACACCACAAAATGGCAGCCCCTCAAGTTCACCTGATCCAAGTTCCGGATGCTGACCCTCAGCAAGTGCCACAGACGAATGCCATGGGAATCACCATGGAGCTAGTCACTGGTTTCAGTTTCTGAAAACCTGAAGGCTCTTCAGATGAACCTTAGATGAGAAGGAGCACACCAAATGGCCAACAGGGCCCACGTAGGCAGAGATACAGATATTTCCTTTTTAGTAAAATAAATACATTTCAGAGAAGCTTGTTGAAAAATAATTTTTCCAATTAAATTACTTTCCCCCATTACCTTTCATTATAAAATATGAAATGATTTAGATGAAAATATTTGGCTGTTGAATACAATAGAATCAAAATTAAGAAAGAAATGTTCTTCTAAAACCTCATCAAATTATAGTAACAGCCACAATATTCAAATAACGGTTAACAAAAATTCTTTTTTAAACAATTAAAACCATTAAATGCATATTTGTTTACTTCAAGACATAAATGATTTAATTATTCAAATTAAACTTAAAACCCCTAATGGGAGAAATAAAGAATGAGAAGAATAATTGGAGATGTATATATTGCTTCTTATTAAAAACACCAAATGCAGCAGAAATGACAATAATTCCCAAGAAAATATTTATAGATTTTTATGCAAAGCCAAGATCCTAAATGAATACATTATAGACTCTAACAAACTCACAGGGTAATTCATCTAGAAGAATAAGCTAGCAAGAATATTGAAGTGTTCTTTTAAAAATGATAATTATAATAGGTTGCTATGCCAGATTTTAAAATACGATTTATAGCAACAATTATCAATCAGTTACTGGGTTAAAAATAAGGCAAGTTGACCGTGGCTTGGAATAGTGACTCTAAATTAAGTACTTAAGATCCAAGTAAACAAAGCAACAACCATACTGCATCCGTGACTTATAGTGAATTTATTGTCAACTAAGACGTCAAGTATTTTTCACATGCGGTATTACCTACCCCAAAATTTCCAATTCTCTATTTTGTTAAAGGATAACTTTCAAAATAAGGCAAAATCATGATTCTTATATAATATAAAATGAACACACATTAAACATTTTTTAAACTCATTATATAATGAGGAAACCAAGCAGATGCTACTACCCATTCAAAGGGAAATTCCAAGAACAGACACATGAATAGATCAGGAATACTGAAATAAATTTGCAAACAGATGCAAAACTGGCAAATCCAGTGTCAGTTGAGCTTCCACCAGACACAATGTGTTTTCAAGCCTACGAGACAAGAACTGTTCTGCATCGCTATGGGCTGTCCACGCTTCCACAGCTCAAACAGCTCAAAGGCAGCGAAAGGTGCAGAATCTCCAGAGAATCACCATCAGAGAATCCAGAAGGCTGTGCCCTAAATAATGCAGTTTGCCATCGAAGCACAAATTTTCCTCTATGATTTGCACAGTTGTTTCTTTTTTGTACTGAAGACTTTTACACGTGTGTTTATTGATCCCATATTGATAGTTTGCCTATCATCATCCCCATCCCTCCCAGCTTTACACACACACACACACACACACACACACACACACACACACACACACGACCAGGATGCATCTCTAAATCTCCACTTCCTGAAACACTGCAACTCAAAGAGAAGCACCTTTGCTCCTCTTGGCTCCTTCCACCTTTCCTCCCCCACACTTGCACTCTGTAGGTTCCACCTTCAGCGGGAGACAGGGTAGCCAATCAGATGAAGGCTGGCGATTATCATCGACAGTGGCTCCCCTGGAGGACGCTGCTGTTTCTGAGACACGTTCTGGGTAGTGACTTCGAATCCATGCCCTGGCCTTTCGCCGTCACAGCCATGCCTGCAGAGTGGCCATACAAGTCAGAGTGCTAAGTGTTTTGCCTCTCAAACGAAATGCAGTTTGTACAAATAACCTCAGGAAGTAAATATGTAACCTTTAATAAAAATGTGAGTGCTGTCAACACTGGGTAGGTAAGATCTTTAGTTCTGTGAAAGTAATCACCTCAAATGATCAGAGAAAACCCCAACATATTCTAAGGGCTCCGAGAACCCCTCCAGGGCTCCTGGAGCAGGCACACAGCCAGGCCACAGTTGAGCCGAAGGTGACACGTCGATGATTTTTAGAAAACAACTTTTGACTTTGATGTTAGCTCTGAAAGCTCACTTTGTCTTCTTTTCTAATGTTATTTTCACGTGGGATGAAGATGTTCCTAAAATGTTACTAAACTGGCCAAATCTATCACATCTGAG